GGTAAGAGAAACCCTGGTCTGGTTCCCCATTCCTAATGTCCTCTAGTGTCTGGGCCACTCTTGGAATTATCCATAGGAGCCTACTAAGTTTCTGGGCTGTGACTGAGGAGAGGAACAGCCTGCCAAAGGGACCTTCCTCCTCAGAAGAAAGCCTTCCCTTTACAGCTATTTATCTGCAAAGATTTCCTGCTGTGGCTAAATAGTGCAGCTGCTTGAGTTGTTATTTAAAAGAGTGACCCTAATGAGACCAGAGCTCTGGCAAGGGGCAAGTCTTATTTCAGAGAGTGAGAATTGCCCAAGACAAAGAGTGCCTAATTGAATCCCAGGGAGGTCTCCAGAAATCCATGCCTGGTGACAGTACCTCAGGCCTGGGGAGATCACTTTATGGGAACCAGCTAGTTAACCCAAGCCTTTCTGAGCTTGCTTAAAATAATCTACTAAAATATCCTTAGCACAGGCTGCAGATTGGAGCTACACACACACACACACACACACACACACACACACACACACAAAACCACCAAAATCTGCACTTGACAGGAGGGGGAAGGGCCAAGGATGGAGAGGAAGAAAGGGTGCAACCAGAGAGATGAATAGAGCCCAAAATTGGTGTCTAGCAGTCAGGTAGACACTTAGGGGGAGGGATAAAGGAGCTGAGGTGAGTGAGAATATCCACCAGGTAGTGAAGCAGAGAGAGCATGCAGAAGCTACTGACTGAGCAACACACTTTAGAAATCCAGTGATGGTGGATCCTGCCCAGCTCTGCTCTCTCTCTCCTCCCTGGAGCTTGCAACTGTGTGAACAAACCACACTGTGTAGCCCCAATCTTATTACTTCCGGTCAGCTACACCTAAGACAATGGAATAGGGCATTTGTAGCTCAATGTGTTGATTTTCTTGTGAGGGCGTGGGTAGGTTTTTCTTTGAGACAAGCTCTTCTTATACTGTAGCACAGGCTAACCTGAAACTCGCTATGTAGCTAAAGTTGACCTCAAACAGGTAGCATGCCCCTAGCTCAGAGTTATCACTCCAGTAGAGTGACAGGAGCTCATCTTGGCTTAAATATAAGGAAAGACTGTAAACGGGAGCCAGGGAGAGCAACCTCCTCCATGAACCTCACAGGGCCTCTCAGACCCAAGAGACAGTGAACAAAGGTTAAACTAATGGTGGTCTTAAGGATGTGTGGATAGGGGCCCTGGTTCCAGAGGTGACATTTACACTCTGGTGTAAGATAAGCTAAGCCAGAAATAATATACCTGAAGGTTGCCGTTTACCCTGGGGGAAGGTTGAAGAGAAAAGCAGGCAAGCGGGCAAGCGGGAAAGCAGGCAGGCCTGAACTGCCTTTACCGGCTTAACGTTTCATTCCCTTCCCTTGATTTGTGCTGTTTGACAGATGTTTTGGTCTCAGTAGTCCTTGGCCTTTGGCTTTGGTTTTAATCAGCAAATACTTGGGAAGCTGACATGAATCAGATTTGTACTGAACACTAAAAATAACAGAAAAGTGCATGGGTCTGTGAAACCGACCCAACAGGAAGGTTTCCCACCTCAGAGAGAACAGCAACGCCGGCTGCCCTCCACTGCAGAATGGACAAGCACTGAGTCCTGGAGGACCTGGCTCACATCCTTCCCCGTGTCACACACTGTGTCCGAATAAGGACAGAGAGGCGGGAAGGACAGAAAGCTGCCGCTTGCTCTCGCAGAGCATTTTTGGAAGGCACTTTAACTAGGAAAGCTTTAGATTTAGTGAACTGTAATGGGTGATGTCAGTCCGAGGCTCAGAAGTAACTTCAGAATGCCAGTCAAGACAAACGGAGGCCTAGCAGTGACTAGCACAGGGCAAGCAAAGGAGCATCGGCTGGTGTTTGCTGGTGGCAAGGGGTATGCGAGAGAGGAGGGCTAGAGATGTAACTCTGCTGGCAGTGTGCTTGTTTAGCGTGATTAAAGTTGAGGACTTGATGCCAGCACCACATCCACACAAGCTGGATGTGGTGATGTATACCTGTAATACTAGCACAAAGGCTGGGTCGTCAGGAGTTGCAGTCCATCATCCCTGGACTAAGCTAAAAGTTCCATCCTGGGACACATGATGAGACACAGTGACCGAAAGGGAGACCCTAGTGTATTTTAAAAAAATAAAAAATACAAAACAACTGAAGTGTGTTCAGCGCCTTGGGAAGGTCACGTCAGAGGGAGAGAAGGTATGAAATGGTTTTGCAGAGACAGGCAGAGCCCATGCTGTGTAAAACTTTATAAACCATATTAAGGAGACTCTTCCTTATTAGAGCAGCAATAAAAAAAGCTACTGGAAAGCATTAAGCAGGCAGGCGATGAAATCGCGTTCGACTGTAGATCACTCTGGTTGCAGCAGGGATTGCAAAGAAGCAGAGCTGTCTATGCGCAGAGCAGTCAGGAGGCCTGCTGCAGCGTAAAGAAGAAGATAGGCTGTGGTGAAGTAGGAAAGAGAAGCACACAGCAAAGGCATTCCAGAGATGTGGAGAGACTTAAACCTGTGGAGAACAGCGCACTAGCCATCAGCTATCAGAAACACAAAGGACTGAGAAGATCTTGGGAGTTTTAATCTCATTAATCCTCTGATAGGACACATCTCAGACAGTATAAATTTGGTTAGAAATTTGGGAATGGGAAAGTAGTTGGACCAGTTCAGATCTGGAGACATGATTTCCCAATGCCCATGGTATCAAAAGAAATGTCTTACCCGGTTTAAAACACAAGCTGAGAGCCAGGCCTGGTGGAACGAGCCTGTAATCCCAGCTACCCAGGAGGCTGGTTTGGAACAACTACAAGTTCAAGGGCTGTCTGGGCTACAGAGAGAATTCAAAGCCAGTCTAGGCAACTTAGACCTCGAATCAAAATTAAAGAAAAAAAAAGATACATGGGGGGGGGGTGAGCAAGGCTATAGCTCAGTGGGATAGCACTTGACTGACACACATATAGGGCCCTAGGTTCAATTCCTAGCACCTCAAACAAAAGGGGGGAATGAAATATGATGTAAACTCATAGAAGATGTAGATATTGAAACAGTGACCATTAGTTGAGAAGTAAACAGCCAATAAAGCTGCTTTTCATTAGATTAAAAGCTTTGCTTAGAGACTATAGATCAGCTTCCTCCAGAGATTAAACACAGCCAAGTCATGTGAACCTTGACCAAAGGCATTTTACCTTTCTCAGGCTACACTGTAGCCTTTCAGGAGCTAGAAGGTAGGTACCTGAGGATGCAGGGTTTCTGGAGAACATTCTTTATGTGCTATTTAAATAGTACAAAGTAAATCATTACATGGATGTGTTCAAAGCATGCTGTTGAACAAAAGGAAGTGAGCTATTGAACAGCAGGCCCTACCTCCACTTGTGTAAAAGTATATATTTAAACCCATATAGATACAGATGTATAGCAAGATGTTGAGGGTGGTTCCTAACTAACTTAATTATATACGGTTAGTTGAATCATATATAATTCAGGTCATTTTAATTTTCTTCTTTGTGTTCTGTTTTGTTTGGATCTGGACAGCCTACACACAGGGCCATTTTACAAAAACACAAAAATCACAAAGGAGTAGTATAAGATCCCCTCATGCTGTCGATCAACTTCCAGAAGGGCATGGACCATTCACGGTTGCCTCAAATGAGATAATGTCAGGGGCACAGCATCACAGAGTTCCACAGGTGAAGCTCTGACTGTGAAGCACCCTTCCCTGGGGCTCACGTGATCAATGCCTGGTACCCAGCTGGATTGAACTATTTTAGGAGGCTGTAAGAGCTTCAGAAGGTGGGTTCTTGCTTGAGGAGTCAGGTGACTGAGGGCAAATATTTGAAGGGTGTACCTGATGTCTTCCTGTTTCTCTCTGGTTTGTGCATCCTATGAGGTAAGCTGCCTTCCTCAACACGTACTCTCCACTGTGGTATCCTCTTCCCTCATTATGGAGCCTGTCAATCATGAACTGATGCCTCTGAAACCATGGGCCAAGATGTCATCCCTCCTTTTAAGTTGTTTTCTTCCAATGTTTTCTCAGAGCAAAAGGAGAGGGGGACTGAAACCGAGCCTTGGCCTTGCTACAAACTAGACTAAAAGGTGTATCTCCCACAGCACAGACTCATGAAGACAGACATCTGAGGAGCAACGGGGAGGAGGCCATGCCTATTTATTTAAGGGATGAACATGTCACAAGCTAATACATCCACAGAAGCTGTTCTCCACTTCCTCCCAACACAGCAACTTTCCAAAGGAAAGTTGACTCCTCTTGTCCCCCTTTCAAAGCCTACTGCATATGGTGATCGAGTACTCAGGGATCAGAGGGACCTGGGCTCCGTCGCAAGTTGACCTGCTCACAGTTTGATTGAAGACAATCTGTGTCGATAAGCCTTATTCTCATATGGCATAAAATGGAAATGATTTTTTTTTTTTTTTAGAAACCTGACTGATGGGATTGAGAGATTGAGGTAAAATATAAAAACTTATACAGCAATATTTAGCACATAGTAGGTACTCAACAAATGAGACTTGTTTCCCTGTGCGCGTGTGTGTATGTGTGTATGTGAACACTGTGTGCATGTGTGTATGTAAGTTTGTATGTGTGCATGTGTGTGTTCATATATGCATCTGCGTGGGTTGGGGAGGATATAGGAGTTTCCCATACTCCAGGCTGCCCTAGCTGCATGCAAATGACAGCTTTGAACTTCTGATCCTCCTGCCCTCTGAAGAGCTTGGATTGCAGATGTGTACCAGCACACCAAGTGTGGGGATAGAACCCAGGGCTTTGTGTGTGCCGGGTAAGCATACCAATTGATTTGCTATTTGTTAGAATAAGAACACAAAGAGCCAGGTTTAACTAAATGCTCCCCCACCATAACCAAGCACCATTTCAAGGTCAGCCTTCAGCCTGCTGCCATTCTGAACGGGCTTTTCCTGGTCTACCTCCAAGGCCCGCCTTTAAGGCTCTCCCCTGGTCCCCACCATATGCTCATGCACTATGGTTCCACACTCACCTATTCAGCATGTTAGACTGGTAGATCCTCTTCTCATGGGTGTTGTAGCAACTGCTCTTGGGCTCAGGGATGAAACTGTGTTCGGACAGCATGTCTGAGGCAGCAGTGGTGATGATGGCAATCCCGTCCCTCACTCTGGCAGGAAGGCCATAGTCCCATTCATCATACGACACGGAGATAAGCCCCGTGGGAAACTCTGAAGGCACCGTGTCCGTATCCCCCGCCACCAGACTCGGCACGATCCATGTGTAGCCGTAGCCAGTCAGCCCAACTGAGTTAGCTACTTCGAAGATGTAGGTGGCTTCTTCCTTCGTGCAATAGAGGAGAATGATGGGGCTTTGGAGCTTCTTCAGCTGATTCTGAATCTTAGAGTCGCCATCGTCTAGAGACATGTCTAGCAGGAGTACTTCCTCGAGCTCCCAGCCCACGAAGCTGTTCTCGATAGTGCTCCGGATCTTGTTCACAAAGTCCTGGTAGCCCGGGAAGTAGGTGGTGACGATGGAAAAGATGTACCAGTCGTATTCTTCCATGATGTTGAGCATGACGGAAGCTTGCTGTTCAATGGATGGGCCAAACTGGAAGAACATGGACGACTCATCCTACAGTAGTCAAAATACAAGAAAAAAAGAGAAGAAATGGAAAAATCAAACAGATAGCCACGGGGATTATGAATCAAGGATTATGAATCAACTGGATACAAAAGTACATGCTCTTTTTTTTTCTCATAGAGTTTTTAATTTTCTTTTCAGTAGGTTTTGAATTTTGGTGTTAGGCATACTCACCCACAATGTACCTCATGCTTGGCTATGGAAACTATGATAACATACAGCTGTTAGCATCACAGTCCCCATAGTACTGGAGAATGACGCCAAGATCTCATATGGTATGCTTTACCACCCAGCCTGTATACTCAGTGTCCCCCCTCACTACCCATTAAAATAATAATGTGGGTTCTCACTAGGCCTCCCAGGCTGGACTTGAGCTCACTCTACTCAGTCTACAGTCTCAGGAGTCTTTGTACTTGGAATCCTCCTGCTTTGAATTTCTGAATGGTAGAAATGGCAGGTTCTTATGCCCATGCCCAAGGCTTCCTCACATTTTCTGTTAACTTAGCTTATTCCCTAATGGTTGTTCTGATAATAAGATATATAACATAGAGTGAGCTAAAACCATACCTCTAAGCCATACATGAAAATACCAGTAGCTAGACCGCTTATGTGGCTGTGCTTGATTTTAGAGGAACCTACAGAAGAGGGCGTGCTTTCTAACCCATATAATGCCACAGGTCTTAGGCTGGTCTGTGTAACACATAGGCCCATACACACACACACACACATACACACCACACACATACACACCACACACACATGCAAACACACACATACACACACATGCAAACACACACACACATACACACACACACACACACACCACACATGCAAACACACACACACACACACGTATACACACAGATAGTTCTGAACATGTTTTTCATGTTTTTCTCCCTTTTCTTTTGAGGGAGAAACCATTTTAAATTTCTCTCATTTCAAGCTGCATTTTACCTGCTGCTTTGAGATGTCAAAACCTGTATTTTGGCTCTACCGTACGGCTACAAGAATCATAAACCACAAAATGAATACCCTCTCAGCCTTGTCCTCTCTCTGTCCATTTCCCCATGATTTGTTCTTGGTAATGGCATCACTTCTCTTAATCTATGTCCTCACCTTACCTCTGAGAGCCTCTGTCCACTTTGAAATAGTCTAGGCTAACACAATTGTGTCCCTCTTCAAGGGACATTTCCTCCTCCAACCCCCAACAACCCGGGCTTTAAAGTATAGTTACAAGAGATCAAGAAATTGGGCCTTTAAGCAAAATGATTTTAGTGATTTCTAAGCCCAGGAATAAATAGCCAAGAAACAGCCAAGTATTTCTGGAATGCCGGCTATTGAAAAAAAAAAATAAAGGCTGAGAAATAACCTACTTGTATCTCAAGACCCTAGTTGTGCAGAGAGACTTGCCATCCCTTCGGCTTTGCCAGGGTAATGTATGGTTCTTCTCATACTTGGATTGGTCACACTGACCCCGGCCTACCCAGAGTTGAAGATATGTTTATCCACTGGGCAGTGGGTCTACCTGCTAATGGAGCCATGTGGTTTTCCATGCCTGTCTCCACTGGGCTTAAACATAGAAACAGAGATGATTCCCGAACGGCTACAGGAGTCAAAACCATAGTGAAGATGAAGCAGCAACAATAGGTAGAGGAAAGAGAATTCATTCAGATTAGAATAATAAAGGGCAGGATATGTGCCCATAATGAACTTTGGCTAGACCCTGCTCCTGGTATTCCTCTATGACACAGGACTGTTCTTCGGGTAAAGGTAGCCAGTCTTCCATGGAAGGTTACAATTGTGATGTGGACTAAGTGTTGTTGTCCCTTCCTGTTAATAAATTCTCTAACCTCCAGGGTAAAGGTAGTAGGATATGTTGTCCTTTGTGATATGATAGGTCTTGTATGCCAAGATCTCAGAAATGGGATTAATATCCTTTTAAAGGAGACTCCAGAGAGCTGCCTTGACCCTTCCACCTTGAGTGGACGCACAGAGGAGATGGCTCTACAAACCAAAGAGAGAGTCTTCACTAGGCACCAAATCTGATAGCATCAATGATCTCAGACTTCCCAGCCTTCAGAACTATGAAAACTAAACTTGTGTTGTTGATAAGCTGTCTCTTTTATGACATTTTTTAATATCAGCTAAAAGGGACTAAGACAAGTGGGTATCTGAGACAATGAAGCTTAATTATTCCAACACTTGTCAGGGACCTGTAGAGACCCACAAGGGAAAAAAGATAGAAAAGAAAGCCCATTGACAGAACAACTCATCTAGAATAGACGCTGTTTGAAGGAGATATCTGCTTGATTTTCTTGTAAACATGGTCTTGGCTCCTCTCAAATGAGAAAGCTCATCCTGTGGGTTTCTACAAGCCCAATGGTTACACAAAGTAGAAGTGCTTTCAATATACCTTAAGGACTTAGGGAGAAGGAAATCTCAATTGTAAATGAAATAAATCAACCTGTTCTGTGATGGGTGAACAGAATTTAATCCCAGGAGACTTTTGAATGCACAGGAAGCCCCACATATGGTGAGGCCACAATTGGCTCAAATGCACAGCAAGAATCAGCTTTGAGAAAAACTTATGGTTATCTATCTCAGAGGGTCAATGCTAATGAGATTGAACTTAAAAAATGAAAAAAAATCTGCTAAACAGTAACTTGAGCCTCTCTTCTTTTTGTCTTCTCCTAATGTCTCTCTCACAGTTATAAATTAATTCATAAAGACACTGCCTAGGTATTCTGCAAAGAAAACTAATCTACAATGAACCCGAGAAAAGAAATTCCACATGGTTGTACCACACCCCCACTGCATTCTGAGCACATCTTCAAATGTCATGATCCATACACAACCCCTTTTCTATAGAGCTCTCAACCTGCTCACCTTACCCATTTGGTATTGGCAGGCCTCGATTCCATGAGTATGCCCTCTACAGCCATTTTATTTGCCACCAAACCAAGTTTGCTGAGGCCAAGTCGAAACCAAGAGACAGAGTCATGGCTTGGGCAAAGGCTTCCTGTACAATAAGGAGCATAGTGTTGTTTATTTAGTTGACAACTTAGTGGTGCACAGTAGTCAGGAATAGAATAGCTCTTCTTTTTTTTCCAACAAAGCTTTGAGCTAACTCTAAGTTGCAAATGGTGACAGGTTTTGCAAATTATTACCTCTGCCACAAATCAAAGCATAATCTTCATATGTGCACGGAGTGGAAAGTACTGGTGGCCACACATCTATCTTTGCAGGCACCCGGCATGCGTTATGATCACCCACTAGTGATCAAGATGAAGGACAGAGACATAATTCTGTTTGCACCTCACTGTGATTCCCCGTGAACATTTTTATCTTCTAATGCTATTACAAAATGTTGACACTCAGGGGTCCTTGGAGAAGCACCTCCCTCCGGCGAAAATTCCCAGCCAAATTTATTGCATGAATGCACTTCAGCTTGCCTTAAGAGCATCTTGAAAGTCTTCCTGCATAAAAGGCTGCCTTAACTGAGATGAGCAATTAGCACAGGGGAGGTAGAATTGTACATTAGACCCCATCCGTCTACTACCTTTATGCTGTACTTCCATTACATTGATGTTCGCCGTGTTTATTTGCTAAGAAGAAGAAATAAAAAGAAGTATTTTTTTCAACCCTTTATCTGCCTCAGAAAACAGTTGCCTAAAGAATTGGGAGCACAAGATGTTTTTCATCATCCAGATCCCCTACTGAGCCACTTCTGAATTAAAGAATGAAGTAGCCCAATGACCACAGTGCCCCTGGCAACAGATGTCATCTCAGTACCCTGCCCCCAACACACCCACCAGATGAAACAAGGTCTAAGATTATGTCTCTTCCTTGGACATAGAGCCCTCCCTGCATGATTGGCTGTCAAGGTGATATAAAGTCCTGCTCCATTTGCTCTAAATACAGGCAGCTCTGAAGGGCCTGCCCAGCTTCTGAATTCCCTACAAGGTTAGTAGAGCGTCCATTACAACTGAATCGCCTATATCTCCCCTTCTGCTCACTGTAGTTTTCCCTTCCTGTCCCTTCCTTGGAGTTGATGTCATATCCCTCCTTCATCAAGCTGCAGCCTGCCTTCACACTCAGCCCACTTTGCATGGAACCTGACCGCACTTACCCCCTGTTATAAACTGGAAAGGGGTGTCGGTGTCTTAGAGGTATGAACAGAGGGGCTGAGAAGATGGCTCAGTTGGTAAAGAACCTGCTTTACCAGCATGGAGGACTTGAGCTTGGATCTTCAGAACCCATGCTTTTAAAAGAATGCTGGGCATGACCGTGCCTGGCTGTAGCCCAAGCTCAGTGGTATAAGAGGCAGGCAGGTCCCTGGAGTTCACTGGCCAGCCAATTTTGCCAATTTGTAAGCATCATGTACAGTAAGAGACACTCTCTCAAACTCTCAAGCGATAAGGTGAACAGTGAGAGAAGAAGGCACCAAATGTGGAGCTCTGGACTTTATATACACATGTATACACATGCACACTCGTGTGGATGTACACACTCATACACACACACACACAACTCGTAAATAATAATAAAAAGAAATATAACATAATACTTATCTTCATAAATTATGGTGATTCATGCGGTAGAAAGATAATCCCCTGCCATTTGGTGAGAGATGTCAGAACCAGGGTGAAGAGGGGGTCAGCTGAGTATCAGAAATGCATTGGTAGTAATTATATTTCTTATGGAATGAGCCTCTGACGGTAGTGAGCTCTCCATACACCACACACAGGAGCTTCGTTCTTATCGGATGAAGGGTTCCTTTCCGGTGCTCTATCTAACTTCATTCTCCCCTTTAAGACTGAGATTGTGGGTTATTCCTTTGATAGATGCTATTTTGTTTAACTCTCAAGGACAGGTTAATCCTCTTCCCCTGTACCTTGTCAACTGTGTGCTTCTGTCTCTAACATAATACCTATCACATGATAGCAAGCAAGTTTATTTCTTCTCCCTACCAACATGGGTGTTCTGTCTAT